CAGGCTCAGGTGTGGCTCAGTTTTGGGCTTTCTGGTTAAAGATTGTTGTTGATATGGTTTACTTAAGGTTGAGTTTTGATTCCAATGTTACATTTTGATCTGGCCCAATTCAGGGCCAGTTATGGGTAATTAACTTGGCTGAGACTTGGGCCGGTTATGGCCCATGTGTGGCCCTTGTCTGGAATCCAGACCTGGTCCACACTAGTACCGTAATACATTGCGGTATGTGGGCCAAGCAAAAGCTGGTTGTGTGGGCCGGAGCTGGGCCAGAGAAAAATTGCTATTCCCAAATCAGACTCCTTTTATCTTGATTAATATTGTTACTCTAAAATGTCATTAAGAGCATTAATGATATCTGCTACATTCGGTTCTGTTCTGTTTACCCTAAGGGGGTTATTGCTGCATTTCCTGCTCATTCAAGATAGGCTGCATGGATGGGCAGGGAGTTTTTACCCAGAACAGAACCATACCACCAATCCAAACTGTATGCTAAGTGTCAATCATTTTGATGATAGTGGTCCTGACAGAACTAATTATTTATGTTCTTTCAGAAGTCAGGCTGGTTGGAGGTTCTCGCTGCTCTGGGAGGTTAGAGATACTTCATGATCAGACGTGGATGTCAGTGTGTGACGCTGCCTTTGACCAGCAGGATGCAGAGGTTGTGTGTAGAGAGCTGGACTGTGGGGCTCCTGTACAGGTGCTGGGAGCAGCTGCTTTTGGCAAAGGAGACACTCAGATGTGGACACAAGAGATTCAGTGCAGAGGAAATGAATCTCAGATTCATATGTGTCAAACATCTTTCAAATTCACTCCCAAATACAACTGTTCTCACAAAAATAATGTTGGACTGCTTTGTACAGGTATGTATTGACCGTTTCAACAGGAAAGATTTACTTAATTTTGATAGATCTCTTCTAATTTTTTCCCCTTACTGTGCACAGAAATAATAAATGTGCGGTTGGTTAATGGTAACAGTCCCTGCAGTGGGACAGTGGAGGTTCTTCATAGAGGTCAGTGGGGAAGAGTGTGTGACATTGGTTGGGATATGGCTGATGCTGCAGTGGTGTGTAGAGAGCTGGACTGTGGAGAACCTGTAGATGCTCTGAGTGATGCTCAGGTTGGACTCGGATCAGGACCAACCTGGATGAATAATGTAGTGTGTATTGGATCTGAGTCCACACTGAAAAAGTGTGGATCTATCACATGGGGTTTTCAAGGTGTGTGTCAGAGCAAGAGTGCAGGAGTCATCTGCTCAGGTAACCTCAAAACTTCATTTTGTTAAAACGGGTGTCCAAACTTGTTCCTGGAGGGCCACTGTCCTGCAGATTTTAGCTCCAACCCTAGTTAAACACACCTGAACCAGCTAATCAAGGTCTTCAGACTCACTAGAAACTTCCAGGCAAGCAAGTTGGAGCTTGTTGGAACTAAAATCTGCAGGACGTTGGACACCCCTGTGTTAAAAGAAAGAAAAAATAAAATAAAATAAAAAAGTGTATGTTTTGTATGTGGTAAAGTGTATGTAGTGTATGTTTTGTTCTGAAAGGTTAATTCACACTCATTGTGTTTTTTTGTTTTTTTTTCAGGAGTCAGGCTGGTTGGAGGTTCTCACTGCTCTGGGAGGTTAGAGATCCTTCATGATCAAACGTGGATGTCAGTGTGTGACGCTGCCTTTGACCAGCAGGATGCAGAGGTTGTGTGTAGAGAGCTGGACTGTGGGGCTCCTGTACAGGTGCTGGGAGCAGCTGCTTTTGGCAAAGGAGACACTCAGATGTGGACACAAGAGATTCAGTGCAGAGGAAATGAATCTCAGATTCACCTCTGTCCAACATCACTGCCACACAAATACAACTGTTCACATGATAATGATGTTGGACTGGTGTGCGCAGGTTTGAGCAGATTTCTTTTACTGAAATCTTATGTCAAATCTTCTGACTCTGTGTATGAAAGATATTTTCTTTCTCTTTATGAGATTCTTCTTACTGTCTTGTTTGCTCTGTTCATAAGTATTACTTCTCTTGTTTTCTGTATTCAATATGCAGACAGTGTGAATGTGAGGTTGGTTTATGTTATGTACTGGATCAGAGACTACACTGAAGAACTGTGGATCAGTTCAGCTGTATGATTATTATGACTGTAATCATGATACAGATGCTGGAGTCATCTGCTCAGGTGAGCTGTTCTAAAATTTAACCAAGTACAACACTGTTGATCCACACACCTTATATTTTAGATTAAGTTTTATATACATTTTTTTTAACACCAAATGTTAGCAACACTAAGGTCATAGGTTCATTTCTCAGAGAATGCATTAACTGATAAAATGTTAAACTTGAATGCATCTGTAAGTAGCTTTTTCTATATGCATAAATGTCTGCCAAATGCATAAATGTACACTGTAAATGTAAATCCAAATAATGCAATGATCAGTTCTTCCTCTTTTATTGTACCAGCACAGTGCATCATAAACACTTTGTTTTCTGACATAAATACTTGTGCAGTCTGACTCCTGGTAGTTTCTTAAAGCCAGCCAACCAGAAATGAGCTTACAGTCAAGCGTTTGCCTTTGCTCAGTGTCATAAGTGTTTTACTTTTTCCTTCCAAAAAAGGCATTAAGTGAACCGTCAGTGTTCGTCTGTGTCATCTAAGGCTAAGACTAGTATCAATATGTGCATTAAAAAAACAAAATATATATGAAAGTTTCATAACATTTGTAACAATTTGAATGTACATAAAATAATGATCTGTCAGCATTATTGAATGTTATAAATAATGTTTGTACATTTTATTGCCAAAGTTATTATAAAGTATTGCCTTTTTATTTTAGATAAATGCGGCTGTTTAGAAGTCTATAATAGCAATGGTCATGTAACTTTTCTTATGTTTATTTTCTCTCACTACTGCAGTTGTCAGGCTGGTTGGAGGTTCTCGCTGCTCTGGGAGGTTAGAGATACTTCATGATCAGACGTGGATGTCAGTGTGTGACGCTGCCTTTGACCAGCAGGATGCAGAGGTTGTGTGTAGAGAGCTGGACTGTGGGGCTCCTGTACAGGTGCTGGGAGCAGCTGCTATTGGCAAAGGAGACGCTCAGATGTGGACACAAGAGATTCAGTGCAGAGGAAATGAATCTCAGATTCAAATGTGTCCAGCATCACAGAAACACAACTGCTCCCATGATGATCACCAGGCGCTTCTGTGTGCTGGTAAGAAGATTAATTAGTAGAGCAATTAGTAGCATAACTAGGATCATATGCACCCCAGTGCACTTGGTGGGGCCCTCACCACACCCACAATAGGGTGGCCCTTATTGGGGGGTAAATTATTTTTATTGGAAATGTTAACCTCTCACCAGGCCCGGACTGGCCATCGGTAGCACCGGGAGAATTCCCGGTGGCCTGGCGGCTAATTTGGCCAGCTGCCCTGTTTGTTTGTTTGTTTGTTTTTAGTTATTATTATTATTAATATTTTATATTTTTGCCTTCCCAATGTACCAAAGTGATCATTTCCGATTTTGTCATTCGATAATAAATCTATAATAAATCATAAATCAGTTAGTCTTGACTGTGAGTACTGCGCATTCCGCACTTCCATCAAACTGTTTCGAACAGAGTAATCAGTGTTCGCGGGACTCGATGAAGGAGAGGAAGCGGCCAGAAGAAGCACTGAAATGTAATGAAATTACTGACCTGTTCAGGGCTTCAAGTACAGGTCTGTTTCATCTGTAAAAACGATACTGTAGTTTTGTCTTTATTAACCTAGTTGAGTATTAAACTGCTAGCACCTGTTAGGCTATCAGGAGCACCTCATTATTATCATCAGTCAGAATACTGTGCTAAAGGACATCATTATCGTTTGTAAAGTTACATTAATAAATTTAGCAGACAGACATTCACATGGATTTATTGTATAGGTAGGAGGGAGCTAGAGCAGACAGCAACACAGAAGTATGAGTCACAGCCTAATAATGTAATAGTGTTTAGTATTAGGATTTTTCCATAAAGATATTGTACTATTTTTGACATTTAGGCACTTTAGAAAATGTGTTTCAATATATTTGTATGAAATATAGGTTTGTTAAATCTGGGGTATTTAAGTCATTTTTAAGATAAATAACATTCTGTGCTAACAAATTGCAATGAGTTGGTTGTTTTGCAACAAGGTGGACACAGTTTATAACAGTAGACCTGCTGGTGAAGAAGTGACAGGTACAAGAAAAAAAGGGAGAGACAGCGATATTGGGGAAAATGAAGAAAAGGAAAAAGGAAGTGAAGGTGCAGTTCAAGAGACAACCTTTTATTATTTTCTATGGCCCCAGACAAGGATTTAGACCTTTTTATGTGATGGCCATACAAATAATAGGGTTGTCTGTGGTTTCAGAATTTGTTGTAGGTGTATAGGATGGCCCGGATGAGTGTGAGATTTCCCGGCCTAAAATTGCGTTCCAGTCCGGCCCTGCCTCTCACCCCCTCATTTGTTTCTCCACTATGTAATGTATGCAAAATTTCATCCAGATAATTTGTTGTTTAGTGTATGCTCAAAGAATATATCTTTTTACCAACAGGTACTTGGTGATATTAGTGAAGTTTTTGTTCACTGATAAACTTTTGACTGTTTCTGGTATCAGATGAGGGGCAGTTGTGGACTAATGGTTAGAGAGTTGGACTTGTAACCCGAAGGTCATGCGTTCGAGTCTCAGTAGTACTGGCAGGAATTGTAGGTGGGGGGAGTGAATGTACAGCACCCTCGTCCACCTTCAGTAACCACGACTGAGGTGAGACCCTTGAGCAAGGCACTGAACCCCCAGTTGCTCTTTGGGCACGGGAGCAAATGGCTGCCCACTGTTCTGGGTGTGTGTTCACAATGTGTGTGAGTGTGTTCACTACTCACTGCTGGGTGGGTTAAATGCAAAGCACAAATTCTGAGTATGGGTTACCATACTTGGCATAAATGCAGAACACTCGCAACTTCTTCGTTATTCGTTATTTCCTAAGTGAAGATCCTGGTACCTGGGCAAACAATGCAAATGCAAATGCAAGAAAGAGGTGTTGCACTTATCCAAGAGTACAACGTACTCCTCTCAAAGACTGAAGAACAAACGCAGTTCATAATGCAGATTATCAGAGAGCACTAAAAATCTTTTTCCAGTTTCTGCGGCTGAAGCACATGTCGGATTGTCATCACGATCTAGATCAGATCACAATTTTTCAAAGATCAGTTCAGCAGCGCTGTAGATTTTATTTTTGGCATTTTATGCCTTTATTTAGATAGGACAGGAAGCAAAGTGGGAGAGAGAGAGGGAGACAGGATCGGGAAAGGTCCACGAGCCGGGACTCGAACTCGGGATGCCTAAAGTGCAACAGTGCTACATGTTGGTGTGTTGCCCACAAGGTTATCTGCACCAACAAAATTGAATATTTTAAGACTAACAACACTGTTCTGTGTTTTCGTTTTTAACCTGATTCATAGTTTACTAATGGTTTTGTATAATTATTAATTACATGCTGTTCTGGTCATTAAGACAGAATTTCAGTTTTGTTGAGCACACCCCAAACATAGTCCAATCTCAGCAAAATTTGGTTTGTTTCCATTTTTCATGAAGGGGAGTTGACTGGGTGGGTGAGAGCAGAAGATTTCAAAAGTCCAAAAATAAGGCCCACCCTAACCCACAGCTTACAAGAATGAACTAAAATTCATGAAAATATAACGCTGTTATTCTGTGTTTGTTCTGAATGTCTTTGTCTCTCCTTAAAGGAACACTCCACTATTTTTGAAAATAGGCTCATTTTCCAACTCCCCTAGAGTTAAACAGTTGAGTTTTACCGTTTTTGAATCCATTCAGCTGATCTCCGGGTTGAGTTTTACCGTTTTTGAATCCATTCAGCTGATCTCCGGGTCTGGCGGTAGCACTTTTAGCTGTAGCTTAGCATAGATCAGTGAATCTGATTAGACCGTTAGCATCTCGCTCAAAAATGACCAAAGAGTTTCTATATTTTTCCTATTTAAAACTTCACTCTTCTGTAGTTACATCATGTACTAAGATTGACGGAAAATGAAAAGTTGTGATTTTCTAGGCCGCTATGGCTAGGAACTATACTCTCATTCCGGCGTAATAATCAAGGAACTTTGCTGCAGTTAATCCAGAGAATAACAATTTTTTCTGAGACCGAGAGAAACCGAAAGATGAGTCATCATTTAAAAGCAAAAGCTCAGCAAAGTTCCTTGATTATTACGCCAGAATGAGAGTATAGTTCCTAGTGAAAATGGTAAAACTCAACTGTTTAACTCTAGGGGAGTTGGAAAATGAGCCTATTTTCAAAAATAGTGGAGAGTTCCTTTAAATTGTACTATCCTTAAAGGAATTTTACAAAATAATAGTATTTTGTAATTCCGTTTGTTTATTTTGAAAGGTTGTATTTTGTATAATAGGTAAATTTTAGATACAATAATAATCATTAGCCCAAGTTCTGGCAGGTTTTGCATGGACAAGCACTACTAACATATACTGTAGTTATATTTTTAAAAATCAGTCAAGCTCTGAAAAGGACCGTAAATGTAGTCCATATTCTTCATGCTCTGTATTTCATGACTTCTAAGAAGATAAAATAGCTTTGTTTTTGCTCACAGAGCATACAGGGCCAAAGTGCAACTACCTAACGTTTATGCCACTTTTAAACACAATGGCATCTCTTTACTGTAGATTTATTGATTGATTGATTGATTGATTTTTGTCTCTGTCTTTCTCTCTATTTCCCTCTCTCTTAGATGTAATGAATGTGAGACTGGTAAATGGTAACAGTCCTTGTGCTGGTCGAGTGGAGGTTCTTCATAGAGGTCAGTGGGGAACAGTGTGTCATGATAGCTGGGCTATGCCTGATGCTGCAGTGGTGTGTAGAGAACTGGACTGTGGAGAACCTGTAGATGCTTTGGGTGCTGCTCATTTTGGTCAAGGATCAGGACCAATCTGGATGAGTGTTTTAACATGTACAGGAACAGAGTCTACACTGAAGAACTGTGGATCAGCAGGTTGGAATGAACATGCCTGCACTCATAATCATGATGCTGGAGTCATCTGCTCAGGTGAATAAAATTAAACCTCAAAGCATCCCACACTTTCTGATAATTTTGTCTTGATTGTGTAAGAAAGTAAAGATATATATTTTTGGATGTGGTTATCTGCGTGTACGATTTAAACAAGTCTGTCTTATTCTTAGAATTAATTACCACTTAAGAATTAGGCAGCTTGAAAATAATGTAAATTTGCCATGATTATTTTACTGCATTTTCACAATGAATTAAAGAAATAATTACAGTTCATCATCATTTGTCATCATATGTTTACCTTCATGTTGTTTAAAGGGGTCATATGATGCGATTTCAATTTTTCCTTTCTCTTTGGAGTGTTTCAAGCTCTTGGTGCATAAAGAAGATCTGTAAAGCTGCAAAGACTAAAGTCTCAAATCCAAAGAGATATTCTTTATAAAAGTTAAGAGTCAACCACGCCTACCTAAAACGGCTCATTCTAACACGCCCCCACATATCTACATCACGATGTGGGAAGATTTGCATAACGCCGCCCAAATGTTCACGCAAAGAAAGAAGGCATAACTTTTATTCTCGCTGTAGTATTGAACAGACTGTAAGTAAGTTTTCATATTTAAAGGATTTGCCACTGATGAACGCGAGTTTTGAGTTTCAACGCGAGTTTCAAATGCGAGTTTTGAGCAGTGTAGAGTAGCGCTTGTTTGTCATTTCTCCGATCACAAATGCAGACATGGTTTTATGTTTACGCGGCGCGATGCAACGCAACGTGTAAAAAGACAGTATAAGTCATTATAATCCGTAAATATGTCCCCACTGGATGCAACAAATGCCTCGTTTATAATGGTTTTTAATGTTTTTGTCTCGTCGCTCCGGCCGGGACATGGCATAACAGTATGGTAAGGGGCGTAACATTTCCGTCACATGCTTGAGGTATTCGGCCAATCACAATGCACTGGATAGCTGGCCAATCACAGCACACCTCGCTTTTCAGACCGATAATCTTTGTAATAATCGACGCCTTTCAGAAAGGTGGGGCATAGAGGAGAAACAATAATGTACAGTTTGTGGAAAATAATGTGTTTTTTTAACCTTAAACCGCATAAACACATTTCATTACACCAAATACACAAAATAATGTTCTTTTTAGCAACATCATATGACCCCTTTAAAACTTTAGAGTTTTAGCAGAGTATGGTAAGATATTCAACAGAATATGCAGGCTGCTCATTTCCAAATACTAAAAGAGATTAGTGACCTCAACTGTCCAGCTTCAAGAAGCATTTTCAGTGAATAACAACTACAATGATATATAGTCTATTGAAACTGAACTGCGAAAACATGCTCATTCTGAACTTCTGCACATTTATACATCAACAACACATTCACCCAGTCACAATGAGCTAAAAAGGATAAAGAGGGATAGAGGGTGTCACGAATCAGGCCTCTGTGGTTCCCCTGATCGGCACCAGAGGGACTATTTAAGCTGCACACATACACACTCTCATTGTGAAGTCTTATTTTGCCATAGTTGACATTTCTTAGTGTTTCCTTGTACTACTCTGTTGGATTGCTGTGTTTGACCTTGGACTGTTACCTGTTTCACGATTGTTTGCTGCCTGCCTCGATCTCCTTGCTCTGTTGTTTGGATTCTCATATGTATTGTTTGCTGCCTGCCCCGATCTTCTGCCTGTACTCTGACTCTGCTTTAGTCTCGTCTCTGATAACCATGACTACTGGTGATTGAACCCTGCCTGTATTGACGCTGTTCTTTTAGAATAAAGCTGCACATGGATCCTCACTCCGTTAAACCCCTCATTACAGAGGGATAGACAGTGGGCAAATTCCAAACGGCATTTTTGCGCCCTCGAAGGGCACTTTGAGATGGCATTTGTAGGGACGTACCAAATGAAAGTAAACAAATAAATACCTTCACGAAGGGCCCTTCCAGAAGTCTGTTAGTGAAGCGTTGTCAAGGTAACATTTGGTCAGTCACTTCCTTCGCCAAGGGAGTTCCAAACGCTTATACGAGACCGTAATGCCCTGCACCCTTCAAAGAACACACTTCAAGGGCTCTGCCCTTCGAAGGGAGTAGTGTATAGGGATGCTCACTTCCATTTGGAATTTATCTAACACCAGATAAGAACTAGGGATGGGCATTTTTCAAAAAATATTGTATTTGAATATTTGAGCTCATAAAAAATGAATATTAGTTTATTTAAATGACGTTTAACAAGAAAGACGTTAAACATTATTTTTTAATATCCAAGTTTTTGTCACAATTTCTGAACAAGCTTATGATTAGGCATTATACACAGGGGCGTAGCAGCCTCGGGGGACGGCGGGGACATGTCCCCCGCACTTTTAGAAAAAGGTGATTCTGTCCCCCGCAGTATGTTTGACCCACCGCTGATATTTCCGCCCGTGTTCTCTGATTAGTTTATTTAGATTTGAGTGAACTAACATTCAGCCAATCACAAGGCGAATCATCTCTTGGGCGCGTCTGTCATGAGCTTCAAATCTCCTGTTGCTCTCCGATTTCACTTTGCCCTTTTGGTGGTAAAAAGCACCCCAGAAAAAAGCAGAGGATGATTACGTCCTTTTTCAAACACTATAAGTATGTGTTATGTCACGATGACACGAATCACGCAATCGAATTTCTACGTTATTATTTGACCTCTAACGGCGCATCTACACCGAATGCAATGCGATCATGCGACGTGACAAAAGAACCCGTTAAGAATGAGGCATGTGACGCGTCAAGTCGCGCCGGATCCAGTGTGTGTTATATTCTCTCCTACTTGTAAGTCGCTTTGGATAAAAGCGTTTGCTAAACGAGTAAATGTAAATATGGACAGCATAACTGATTATTGGGTTCTTTAGTCGCGTCGCGCAACTCGTGTCCGGAGTAGAATTATCCTTTCCCAATAAAGCAAAGTTGTTTTGCGCTGAATACTTATCATCTTATACTTTATCATATTTTAGTACTTTAATTCATTACAGCTATGTTTTTAACTTTAACTGGTCTGTAGGAAAGGCAGGTTGTCACATCACAGACAGAGAGAGAGGGGAGGACAATTGCTCGACCGGTGAGATTTGTTGAAAGAAGAATTTTTTTTTATTTTAAGGTAGTGTTTTTTTTTTATTGGGACTACTTGCCAATGTTTTAAGGAATTAAACATAAAAAAATTTTTTCATTTTATGTTCAAATTGTTAAATACAATTGGTTATATAGGTAAAGGCAGTGTGCTCCAATAGTTTTTAAAGACACTTTTTTTGTCCAACTGTTAAGAATTAGGTTAAAAGTTATTGTTTAAGTGTAGTGTAACTGAAATATTGTGCATAACATTTCATAAAAATAAAGTATAGATGTCCACAGTGGTCTCAAAGTCCCAAGTCCTGCAGTTATTTTTTTAAATTAGGGTTAGAGTTAGGGTTTTTGAGTATATCACAAAAAATAGGTCCCTGTAAGCTGTCTTGCTTCCTGTAAGCTATCAAGGCATGTTCCCAAAATTGCCACTAAAGTGAAAACACGACAATTGGTATTCTATATAGAATTTATTATTATATGTACTAACTTTGTACATTGTGTACATAATTTGTTTGGCCATTGAGGGTCACATCACCTGACAGCTATCTCACCCCCACTTTCAAAAGCCACTTTTCTACTATCGGGCCGAACGGATCTCTTTGCTTAACCATTCCATTCCGTGCCGATCCGGGCCAGTCAGCACAGATACGGTTTCATTTTCCACTGTGGTGCTCATAACGGAATGTAATACAAATGCGTCAGTCGTTGCCTTGGTAACGCAAGTGTAACGTAAACAGTGATATGGAAGATGATCAGATATTTCTGTTTTTGGGACTCCTTTTTATCCGATATTTACTTCGTTAAATAACAGAAAAAAAGACACAACTCTTGTCACAAAAAATAAAATAAACAGAAGGTGACAGCGGGTATAATATCAGTAAGCGCAAATGTTTCCTCCACAGACCAAACTGTCTCAGACATTTTTTTATTTTTTATATCGAACGTAGCGTAGCTGTTTACTTGGCTGTTTGATCAAATAGCGCGCTTCCGCTTAGCCAGCTATGGAGAAACTGGTAGCCAGGCAACAGAGTGGCGACGTCACGCACACGCACTCTACCAGCACGGCTCAGCACGGTTGTCTAACCGTGCCAAGAATTCCGGGCCGAGAACGGTTTGTAATCGTGCCATGGCCATACCAGGCTCAGGTGGAAATACAACTGGAACTGCATCTGACAGTTCTTAGAACCGTACGGCCCGATAGTGGAAAAGCACCTAATATGGCTGCTACGCCCCTGATTATAAACAACAATGTTTTACAACAACAACAACAAAATCTCAAAGTTTTATTTTAGTTGAAAACGTGTGTAAACACAAACAAACAAAATTAAAAAAAACAAATATATATATTTGGCAATTACAGTAGAGAACATACATAAATTGTGTAAAAATGAATGGCTACTGGTAGCTCTTCTTCCTGGTTGTTAATTTGCCGGTTGATAACAAACCCACTATGGAGCGTCCGGTTAGAGACTTTACCACAGATGATCAGGTATGCGGGAATAACCCATTTATTATCACCAGTACACCAGTAAACTCAGTACACTAAAGAAATGTTGTTTTTCATGTTTGTCCCAGCTTACATCGGCTTTTCCCCCGTGTTATATCATCTGCTGGGTTATGAATTGATGGAACATAACGCCATGTGTGCTGGTCTGTAATGTCCTGGATCTCGGTGACTCTGGTTCCAACAAACACTTTAAATCGGCAAGAGTCTGAATGCAGCCAAGTGAGGACTGTGGTGGAGTCAGTCCACAGAGTGAGTTGGTGTATGGGAAGGTTCAGTTCTGTTCTGACTACTTTAGTAAGCTGTGCCCCAGTCAGTGCAGCACAGAGTTCCAGACAAGGGATCGATTGCTGTTTGGGTGCCACTCGTGATCTGGCTGTGAGGAAGGCCACCTCTACCTCCCCACCTTGATCCTCTGTGCGGAGGTAAGCGACTGAGCCATAAGCACGCTCAGAGGCATCACAGAAGATGTGTACCTCTCGCTGACTCATGTCTGTATCTCTGATTGGGATGGAGTAACACCTTGGAAAGACAATGTGTTGTAGGGCAGGCAGCTCCTCCACCCACTCTGTCCAGATCTGTAGAAGATCTGCAGGTAAGTGCGGATCATCCCAGTCTCTTTTCTTATCCCAAAGGCACTGCACTATGAGCTTGGCTCTGGTAGTGAAGGGAATGGGATAGCCCAGGGGGTCATACTGACTTGCCACAATTCTGTAAATGCTGTGCATGGTAGTCTCAGTGTTTTGTATGGGACGGTACTTATAGGAAAGCGTGTCCGTTTGGTGATTCCAGAGGAGCCCCAGGGTAGATTCTTGGGTGTTGCTCTGTCCTTGTGAAATCCAAAGTTCAGTGCCGTCTGATCTGACCTCAGGAGGTAAATGGCTTATGTTGGAGAGTTGGTTGCTGGACCACTGCCTCAGGTCAAAACCTCCTCCTGCCAATAAGCTCCGGAGTTTGTCAACAAGACTCTTGCCTTCTTCCACTAAGCTGAAACTCTGCAGACAGTTATCTACAATGAAAGACTTCAGGACAGAATAGCGGATGTCTTCCCCAGGTTGGCTATGGTCCAGGATATGTTTTTGTAATGCAAAGATGGCACAGCAAGGGCTGCATGTGGTGCAGAAGGGGAGAACCTGCCATACATAAACATTGGGTGGATCCTGTGGATTTAGATCCCTCCAGAGGAATCGCAGAAGAGGCCTGTCTTCGGGAAGCAATCTGATCTGGTGGAACATCCCCCGGATATCACTGCTGATAGCAACTGAATGCTCTCTGAACCTGAGCAGCACTGCAAGAAGAGATGGGTCTAACACAGGACCAGGGAGCAAAAGCTCGTTAAGGTTTTGACCCTGATATTGAAACTAGCAATTAAATACAGCCCTGTTTTTCCTGTTGTGTTGGACCAGGTGATGGGGAATGTACCAGGTGTTGGTTTGGCATTCTTCAGCACTTAGTTCCACCTTGACTGCATAACCTGCCCGCACTGGTTTCTGAATCTCTGCAGTGTAGGCAGCTGCTTGCTCTGGATCTTTGGCCAGCCTTCTCTCTATGGCTCGCAGATGAGGGAGAACAGCATTTTTGGGAGCCTTAAGGTCTGGCATGTTCCTAACACGCAAAAGTGGGGTTGCATAGTGCTTGACGCCATCCACCTCTACTCTCATTGTCTTGCTCACCAGAATTTTCACTGCTTCCTGATCTTGTCTGGGTCTTGTGCTCATCTTTTCACTTTGCCAGGGAAGCACGTCCATCTGCCAAAGTCTCTCCACTTGTCTGAGAAGATCAGTTTCTGGTGGTGCCATTGAGGTGAAAAGACACTGTTGTTCAGTGACCTCATGTGTTGCAGGTGTTGTACAGGACCCTGCAAAGTCCAGCCGAGACAAGTCTTGATAGCTGCTGGTCCCCCTGGGGGGCCTAGGCGGATTGGCTCCACTGCCGTAATGAGGTGGGGGTAGTCTGATCCGATGAGCAGGACAGGGCGAACTGCCTCTAAATGGCTCAAAAGAAGCCCTCTGAGGTGGTGGTATTTCTCCCTCAAACGCTTAACCGGGTGTGTGTTTAGCAAGACTTAGCTGCTGGGCTGTGAATGCACCCTTTATTTGATACAGTTTGCTGGGCTGAGACAGGGGGGGATGTGAAATGACACTGATGCACCCGTGAGCATTTGTAATTCCTGCCTAACTGTGCGAAGTGGAAGATCTTCTGGCTGACCTTTTAGGCCCAGCTGTTGAGCAGCATTGTGCAAAAGGATGGTCCTCTCCGATCCATCATCTAAGATGGCATAAGCTTTCACCTTGTGTGCCCCGATTCGGAGAATGACCTTGACGATCTTCAGAAGAACCTTTCGGCTGACAGGAGGCTTACAAATGAGAAGTATCTCGTTCATAGTGTTGAGGAGGCAGCCATTAGCAGAAGTACCTTCATTTGGGGTAGTCTTTGGGAGGTCTGCACTCCTGGGATTGATGTCATGAAGGACCAGCAGGTGACGGCTATTACACTGTTTGCAGCGCATTCTCAGATTGCACTCTGAAACTTGGTGATTCCCCCCACAGCAGCAGCATCTGTCGCAATATTTGATCCAGTTTCGTTTCTGGTCAACGGTACGCTGCTTAAAGTTGTTGCAATTGTTGAGGGTGTGTTTGTGGTGGTCACAGTAAGGGCAGTAATGGGTTAAAGCAGGTTTGTTGGCCGTAAGTGTCATCTTTGTCGGTGGAGGTGCTTTCTCTGTGCCAAGCAGAATGGTGGCACTTTTAACTGCTGGCTTAGAGTCTCTGATTACCTCTCGTGTTCGTGCTGGATATCCACGACGACTGGCTCCTACAAGCCTTGATGTGTCCTCCTGCACTTGAATTTCATACTCCAGCCACTCTGACAGATCAAGAAGGGCGGGGATTGGCACTTGGTGAGGATGTGCAAAGTGCCGGAAACTTCACCTGAGGTCGTGCGGCAGCTTCCCTAGGAGCCGGGAGACATGGGAGCCACACTGCAACTCAAAGGTGCCCTTCCTTCCTAGTTGCTCTAGCATGCCAACGAGGGAACGAACCTTGAGGACAAAGAGTCGGAATGCTTTAATGTCCCCACTGGCTATGTTTGGACCATCCATGAGCTCTGCTATGCCTTGCAACGCGAGCTGATGCGGCTGTCCGTATTGCTGATCCAGTGCTGCCATGGTCTTTGTGAAGGGTTGTTGTGAATGACTGAATCAGCGATAAGCAGGGCCTCCTCTAGTTTGAGGTGATCAGTGAGTATTTGGAATTTGAATCTCTCTGTGGCTGTAGCTGGCCGACGATAAGCAGGGCCTCCTCTAGTTTGAGGTGATCAGTGAGTATTTGGAATTTGAGTCTCTCTGTGGCTGTAGCTGGCAGAATGTTCTCCAGAGCCGTGAGAATTCTCTAGGGTTCGGATGTACAAAGTCTGGAATTGTGGGGGTCGGACCTCGGTACATCTGCTCTAGCTCAGGAGGAACTGGGCTGGATGCTCTGCATGGCAGGTGAGAGCGTCGGGCGGATTCAAAGGATGGAGGGCCTGCGGTCTCTGGTTCGCATGATGCATAATTACTCAGTCTGTAAGGCGTCTCAGTTCTAGAGTAATAGGTTCTTTCCTCCCTTGAATGTTCGGAGTGTGACGCGTGGTACGGGTAGTGCGGCTTTGCTCTGGGGACAGCTATTGGAGCTAGGAATGCCTCAGAACTGTGCTCAGGCTGATCTGCCTCAGCAGACCTGAATCGTGGGGCTGCCTCATGGACCGTTGGAAGAAGTCGCTCTTGCAACACGTTTTGATACCATTCTTTATTCATGGCAGTGTTTTTGGGCAGA